GGGCCCCCGGGGGGTTTAGGAACCCCTGGGGGGTTTTCCCGGGGAAATTTTTTCCCCTTTTGGGGGGTTTGGGTTGTTGCCCTTTGGGGGTCCGCCCCCCATGGGGCCAAATTTTTTTCCCCCCCCCAAAATTTTTTGGAAGGCCTTTTTTGACAATTTTTGGGCCAAAATTTTTTTAAAAGGGGAAATTTTGGGCCCCGGAAAATTTTGGCCCAAAATTTTTGGAAAGTTTTGCCCCCCAAAATTGGGAAAAGGGGCAATTTTGGCCCAAAACCAAATTTTTTCCAAAAGTTTTTTTTCCCTTTATGGGGGTTTTCCCCCGGGCCCAGGGGGGTTGGTTTTTTTTGTCCCAAAGGGGGGGGGGGGGTTTGGCCCAACTTAAAAAAGGGGGGTTTTTTTGTTTTGGGCCGGAGGGGGTTTCCCGGGGGGTTTTGGTTGCCCGGTTTTTCAAACCCCCCCCCCGCCCCCCCCCCCCCCCCCCCCCCGCCGGTTTTTGCCATCGGGGTTGGGCTTTCGTCGCTTGGCAACGACGTTATTAAAAAAGTCGATCGCTTCGTGAGCTCGACAACCAGGTTACAAGATTTTTTCCTTTTGATTTTTTTTTTGCGGTAACCATAATGGTGGTCGAGCAGATTATGTTGTGCGGGGTCGAGAATCCGCGGAAAGGGGGTGATCGCACCACGTTGTGTTCAAATGGTCAAGCACCCTCGAGGCAGTTACACAGTGCTTATTGCTGTCTCTGGAAGTGAAAGCACCAGAAAATAAATAAAGTCATACGCAGCTGTCATCCGTACGCAAGGAAGTAAGCACAAGATGCCGAACACCCTTAGCAGGACGCAGCGCACCCTCCATGCAACTCGCCGAATACCTCACGGCGCTTCGCGCTTCGTCAAGTGAGAGCCTGGTCCGGTGAGAACCCGGCGTGCTTCATCCCGGCTTTGGAGGGATGCGAGGTCAATGGCCAAACGACTACGGCACTCACGACCATGAGTACACCCCCCCCTCCCCTGTCATTCGTGTCGTGCTCTCAATCGTGGGGTAGCAGATGTAGGTTAAGTGCCTCTCCTGCAACTGGTCTTGTGGGAATGCAGGAGAACGTCTTCCTCAGCGACTTCTTCGGCTGCGTTGGTTTTCTTCCACTCACCACCCCGAGGTATCATATCCAGCTTGCCTGGAACCGCGTACGGATTGGGTCGTGAATGCTGCCTGCGTCCACGCGGCGATTGATTCGCGACCTTGGCCTATTTATACGTCATCGAAGCTGCCGCAACGCAAGCGGCGTTGACATGCTCGTCTCAAGTTGTAGTTTTTCTTGTGTTTCTTCCCGCTCTTCTCTGTATGCTACGCAATCATCCGTCCCGTGGCACTTTCGCGCCATCTGTGTTATTTCTGCCAGTCACATTCGGGAGACAATGGTGAAGATCATGTTATCCCCCGCCTCCTCTCAGCAGCCAGTCCTTGCGGACAACTGTGACGAGGGAGAGCGCTACTTCGAAGCAGTCGCTCCGGGGGGCGATCTGAGCAAGATCTCTGCAGGAATCCAGCTTGCTGTGGACCCTTCAGCGTGCACGTTCTGGTGTGCGGTTGCTCTCGGGGCGCTCGTGAAGGGTAGCCCGATCGAATCGGTATGAAAGGGCGTGTCGTTTTCCAAGGCATAAGTGTGAGAATGAGTTGTTGTTTGCCAAATATTCCGGCCGTTTCTCGCACGTCATTGAGGTCACTATTTGCCGTAGGGTGCCGTCGAGGCTTGTTCGTCCGTGTGACAGACCTCCGTCTACACATTTGGTGCCTCGCTGCCGCAGGTGACAAGTTACGCCCAACTGGCAGAAGAAGCGCTTGCCAATAGCAATTCCGGTCCCGGAAACGCCGAGGTCGCGAAGTGAGTCAACCCAGAACAACCTACACTCATTCGAGGGAATGCGCGATTTTCGATTCTCGTATCGCTTCACCCAGGCGTTCCTCTGTGGATGCTGTTATCTCGACCCTCTTGGTGCTTGTGTTCGAGACCTGTCCGCCAGGCTTCTCTGCTCACGAGGTTATTAGTAGTTTGGCGATGATAACTCACGTTTATCTTTGGTCTCCCTGTTTTTTCGTTTCTGGCCAGGGCATGGGTAATTCTGGCTAACCTGCACGGCTTTATGGGAGACAAGGTGAGCTTCTTTCGGTGACTGTGTCCTACACTTGGATGTCCACCGCTCCTGACCCTTGGAACATTGTTTTGGTTCTTTGTGACAGCGCGTCAGGCCCCTAACCAGCTTGCAGGCGGGTCGCTCCAATGGCGAGCTTGGCACTTTGAAATAATGATCCGCTCCAGCTGAGGTGTAATCGTTGTGCCCTCCGACGTGCGTTCGTTCGATAACCACATGGTACATGTATTCCTTCAGGAGCGGTTCAAGAAATACCTGGCTCTTTCGGACTCATTCTTGAGAAGTTCTATCGAGCAAGGGTCAACGGATACCCTTCCAGTGGTGAGAACTTCTTTTCAAGGTTGGTGCTGAGAATTTGGTTTGGCGCTGGAGGTTACAGGTTGAGCGCTGATAGTGGCTCCCTCTAGGATGTTCTCCTTGAGTTGTGTGACCTGAACCGAACAATTCTCCCGGTTCCTTAGAGACGGCCCTACACTCTCAACCACCGAAGTCGCTGATGCGAACAAGCGGGGGTCCTCTTGCCTCCTCGTGCTGCCGAGGGCAGCTGTTAATACTGCTGCTCTGTGTCTTCCGTGCGGCCATGCGCTGACCAGGGTTTCGCCGAGATCGTCAAGTTCAAAGACATCGCCAACGTCTCCTGTGGAAAGTGTCAAGGGGAGCCTTTTCCTGTCCAAGAAGAATCCGTTCCTCCACCTCAGGTGTGCGCGCTGGTTGCATCGAGGGGTCGCTTGGCGATGCCCATCCTCAAGCCAGAATATGTAATAAGCTGGGTTCTCGTGTATATGATTCACCTGCCCTACCCCTCCACTCTCGTTGTCACGGCGCCCGCAGCTAAACGAGGCTGCTACCGAAGTCGAGCTGTATCGATACGTCTCTCAATCTTGCGCAGCGTTTGAGAAGGCGATATACACGACAGCGACCGAGCAGAACGCGAGTTGCACCAACGACCTGTGCGACTCTGAGCATCATGGCAGGCCAGACGAGGTGCACGTTTCCCTGGAAGACTTTATGGCTGCTGATATCTCTAAAGCAATGCGGGCGTTGTTGGACGATGGCGATGTGATCGATTTTGGACCGCTTCGAGATGCCGTGGATCGGTGAGTCGACATTCACGTTGGAAAAGCAGGCGAGCGTTCCCGTGGTTGTTTAGCACGTGGTACATAGGGAGATATTTTTCCAAGGTGAAACTGATCTGATATATCTTTAACGGGGCCCCAGCTATTTCTCGCTAACTCCGACAACAGGTAGATGCTACGCCAACGAACACCATCACGAGGCTCGGATCGAACTCTCTTGTCTACTTCCCACTTCGACCGGCTCTCACGTTTCCGTGCGACCGTTGGTATACGTCTCAATCGCAATCGACTCGCACGTCGAACTGGGGTGCGGTCTCGTCGGTGAGAAGACCAAGCATTCGCCGGGGGATCGGCGTACTTTTCATCAACGGGTGAGCTGGGGCAGATGTGCGGCAGACGTGGATATTTTCAACCCTCTAGCACCATGAGCACATGTCAATCCCACCCGCAGCCATTCCCTTGCCGTGGCCTTTTACCTTAACTACTTCCTGCACTCGTTATTTGGTGCAGAGTCGTGCCCTCAAGAAGCCAACACCGGCCTCGGAACGCCACCCCATCTTTTACCCTCTGGTTCAGCGATCTCTACGCTTGGCATTTCCATCACAACTCCAGAATGGTGGTGCTGGCGCCAAGTAATTTTATTCGGAAGAGAATTGTTCTCATTCCAGCCCGGCAGGATTTTCTCATACACTGCTTGATCGCCCCCACGACCCTCCTCCATCCAATAGACCCTATATCATGCGGACGGCGGGGAAGGGCGATCTGCATGCTGCACGGGAGAGTATCGGCCGTTGCATTGAAGTGCTTGAGCGATATCCTGGCTTGTGTCGCTGCATGATCGGGTGAGTCGCTTGTGAGATCCTTGAGGCTTGCGCAGGAGGCAGAGATGGTAGCAGTGTTTCTGCGTGGCCTGGGCAACGTCCGCTCTCCATCGCAGCGTTATCGCTCTTGTGCAAGTACCGCTCGTTACAGGGTGAAATCGTTCACTCATTGCCACGTTTCTGAGTATCAAAGGAGTCAGGTGTGCCCCGCACTACGCTTGGGCGGCGAGATCGGGCTACAAGACCGAACTCACTCAAACCACGCCCTGATTTTCAAAGATTGAACGATACCCGGAGCAACGAGGAGCTCGGGCTTATTGACCTCTGAATAAGTATAACACACCATAGGACCGTAGATTGGAAATACGACCGAATACACTAAACACAGAATGTTCAACCTCGCTCACGGGGTAGTTTCACAGCACAGGTCACTTTTATCACTTACTCTCCAGATTTTCTTTGATGGATGGACCGTTTCACTCGACGCGAGGGTTCTTCTTATCTCTCACGGGAACCATGATCACCACTCGACTTCTCATGTGGTACACATACGCTACATACATTTCTTGCCGCCATCCTCTTGCAAAGAACGCGACGTGTCAAATGATATTTTGGTGACTGCTATCGAGTCGACGCGTCTTTCGTGACGCCCCTTTTTCTCCTCACCCCTCATCGGCGGACGTGTCCACCAAAAGGTACCACACGGCACACATGTTGCTGATATGTCTCGCAGCGGCCGGCGATTCGAATGACCAGGCGATGTACGCCAAGATAAGGGTGATTTTGAACTCTGTTCGTCCTCCTGGCTCCCATCCCGTGCCCCCTTTCGTGGAGTGGCGAGGAGTGGGCGCCTTCTGCGATGATACATTCTGCAGGTATGTATTGCAGGATCAGAGTCTCATGCAGATCATATGGTGTACAAGTGGCGAGCGGGAAAAATGCCGGGGCTTGCAAGGGCTCGGTAGAGTAAGGCTTTGACGAAGAAGGTTTCTTCCTCACGCCTACGGTGACGTGAAGCACACGGCACACCGTGAACTGCTGTGTGAACAGTTTCCAGCAGCCGCCCACTCGATATGAAGACGTTTTCCGGCACGTGTCACTTGCTTGGCAGATCCTTCGAGGTACTCGTCCCCAGCGGGGACATGAGACCCTTCTTGGAGCCACCCGTCGACGACATCGATGCCAACTTTGAAACAACGGCCACTGGCAGCGGCATCGACGAAGGAGCTCCTCATGGTCACGGATACACCCAGCGCGAGATTCTGACGGCCTTCAACAGCATTCCTGGAAAGATCATCGGGACGGCCCCCGTGTGGCCTACTGACAGCGGGGCTGAGAGTGACATCGGGCCCCTTCTTGCACCTACAGCACAACCCACTTCGCCGATATCCTCAAATCATGCATTCGGTCAATCTGAGGCAGGGCTTTACTCCGCGAGTGTTGCCAGGGGGGTCACCACGCCCGAGCCATCTCTGTTGGGGTTCCAAGAGAGTAGTGAACGGGATGGGAAGCCAGAGGATACCTGCGAAGATGGCATTGTCGAGGAAGATTGGCTGGATGCTGCCCATGCCATTTCAGATGCAGCCGAAACCGTGTGATGGCGGAAGATGACACGGGAACTCGTCTCTAGTGAGCGCACCGGCTGGCGAATAATATTAGTGGGGAAATCGTGAGCTTAATTTCTTCCCCCAGGCGTATGTGTGGTGTGGTTTGGGCCAGCGGTGATCTGTGGTACTTCCATTTTCTCTGATGCAAGTGTGTATTATCGGGACGTGTTGTCGCAGACGCCGCAACGTTAGTTTTTCCTCGCTTCTCCACGTCTTTCACCCATGTCATGTGGGAATGCTTTCAGCGTAAGCCGTAACGGTTACATGTAAACTCTTTGGATGATGGCAGTGTGCCGGTCGCCCCGGTGGTCTAGGTGGTATCCGCGAAACCTTCTAGAGGTCAGGTCAGGGGTTCGAATCCCGGCGTAAGCGAGCTTCTCTTGCAAAGTGAGTTTTTCTCTCTCTTATGCTCCTGGTCTAGTGGATAGCGCTAGTTCGTGTGTACACAGAGGGAAGAGAGTGCTGAACTCTTCTCGCATTAAAAATCGAAGGCAAAGTACCGCAGGAGGGGAGGGTAGAGAGGGGCTCTTCTGTGCGACCACGGGGTGGAGTAAACGGCACTAGTGCTGTGAGCGCTGATTTGAAGTGAAACCTTACACCCGAAACTGCTTTGGCGCTGCTGCTGGCTTTGTGTGCCTCGAGACCTCTCATTCCAACTATGTTTGGTATTTGTCTCAAGTGACCTTTTGCAGGACTGTTTGCCCACCATGGGTGTCGGGTGTTTTGGGGGCTCGGGTGCCTACCTACCCTTGCACTCATAGGTGTTGATTGTTGGGGCATATGCAGACAGAGTTGGCAGTTGACATCATCTACCTTCACGAGAATATGTGCGCGGGTATGGTGTGGTGATTTTGAACCTATCCTTGTGCAGAAGTAGGATAGTGGTGATGTTAAGCAATATCTTCGTTGTTGTTCACCGTCGAGACGGCTTTGTTATCCATCGAAGACTGAGGCCATCTTGCGCACGTGTAGGGCAGATAAATCTGCCCGGAGTTTCCATGGTTTTATCCTGCTACCTCATCGGTTTCCAGGATCGGGTGTCGCTCGTACGAGGCATCAGCGCACCCCCTGCGGGACGAAGCGGAAGTGAGTCCCCCGGCCTGTTTATTCTCGAATCAGCTATGGCAGACACAGCGGGAACGAAGGTGATGAAAGGCTTGCTGGATGTCGCACGCTTGTTTGTGTTCGTGTGTGCATGAGCGGATGAGAATATTCCAACGGGACTGTAGGAGTTGGCTACGCAGATAGGAATTGATAGTCCCCTGGGTTGGTTTCATGATTGATCCACGGGGCTCGACCCTGCGGGAGTGCTTGCTGTGTCGTGGCACTCTCTCTCTCCCGCCGCGTCCTGATCGTGTCTGCTGTCCTAAATACAAGTGATACCATCATCTTCAACACACTTACAAGGGTATACTAACACTCTAGAGTGTATCCCTCGAGGGAACCCGTGCTGGAGATGAGTGGCGCCGATGTTGCAGCAGAGGCTGCCGACGTCACCACTAGTACGCAGGGCAGGGTTGGCAACCTGGAGAGCAAAGTTTCAGGCCTGACGGACGAGGTACAGCAGTTGGCAGGGCTACTCCGAGCCGCCCTCGGAAAGTTGGAGAAGGAGGGGGAGTCCGGCGGCGCCACGGTGGGCGCTGTCGTTACGGGCGCTACGTCTGCCCGCGGTCTGCTGGAAGAGGGGCCGCACAACGACGGAATCACGCCGCCCGCACAGCACGGGGGAAGAAGCACCAGACCGGGAACCAGCCCGGTAGTGCCAAGGATCCCTGCTGGAGCGGACCTGGGCATAGGACCGGGCAGCGGGGACGTCAGGGGGTCATCATCCCAAGAGCAGCCTGCTGCGGTGGGCGCTTGCATAGGCTACACGGCTGCAGAAGAGATCATCAGCAGTCGGCCGGTTGCGGAAGGCGAACCGGTGTGGGCATTTCAGGTCCCTGCTAACGGTGGGTTTGGTAGATCCCAGAATACCGAATACCTCTACAACATAGGCAACGCTGGTAGAGATGCAGCCGCCGCTCGAGGCACTTGCCGAAGAGTCAGAGCAACGTACTCATCACGTCGAGAAAAGCTGTGCGGCGCTGGAGGGGGTGCCGCAGACGGCACACCAAGTGTGCCTGTCGACCGCGGGAAAGTGCTTGCGTCTAGAGAGCTGGGGTAGCATGCATCCCCACGACGCCGTCGATGCGCCATCAGAGCAACCAGGTGAAGCTAATCGTGGGGCCATGGGAAGAAGGACACGGTGGGGTGAGGCAGTAGATAATATCGGTGCAACAAGCGGGGGCATCGGTCAGTATCGTGCAGACCCTGTAGGCAGTCCTGGCGATCGTGGCGGCGAGCGATGACGAGGAGCTGGATGCAGCACGTGAG